GCCCAGGTGAAATACACTTTGTTATTTAATCAGTTCTATGAGCATCCTTCTTTCTGTGCTGCTGGTAGTGAGAACCCAAACTTTGGTCCAGATCTGAGTCACTTTCAGTCAACTAGGGGATAGATCAACCCAATCAACTAGCACTGTGGGTTGTGTTGTTGTTGTTGATAACCCTTAAAAACGGATCAAGAAGACAGAGAGTTCTAGAAAAAAAGTACAAAGTCCTGAAACTGAACGTGTGACTTGAAAATGTAAACCATTTTCTTCTCAGCTTGGCTCTGCAGACCATCTCGGAAAGGATGTTTTTACCATCAGAGCAGAAACTTGATGGGCTGCGCCTCCATTTACATATCTTTGTTGCAAAATGAATGTGACTTGCTGGGGTTCCAGCCTCCTCCAGGAGAAAGCGGCAGGCTGCGGTGGTGCTGGTGGTGACTTTCCGAGGTGAAACTTCAAACCACCGCTCCCTGGCGCACAAAAGGCAGAGTGAGTCACAGGAAGAGGCCGCTCGCTTGCAAAACGCATTAAAAGTAACACAGGCTGAATGGACTTCCTGCACCAGTGAACGGATCGCTGGCAGCCGGACAGGATCCTTGAGGTTCCCAGCGGTTTCAGGGAGGAAGGAACCATTAGAAATCCGAACACATCCACCTCTGCCCTGTTCCCTGGGCTCCCGCTCTGCCCAGGCTGCCAGGCCCATTGTCTCCTCCCAGGCCTGTGGCTCCCATCTGTGATTCCCCAGGAAGCGAGTACCTGTGGCTGAGTCTCCAGGGTCCTTCATAGGAAGAGGGGAGGTGTTCTTTCCAGAGCCTTCTCCGGCTTGAGCAGGGTGGGGTGGAGCAAATGTGAGTCCTGGGTGGACAGCATTCCTGAGGTAGCCAGATGAAAGGCAGATGTGAGCACAGGCCTGGGCTGCGTGATCCACAGCATGTGCATGCATCCAAAACCCCATAAGGACTTATTAAAATGTATCTCAGAGGCCCATGCCCAGTTAGGGTCAGCAGGACTAGGTAAGATCCCCACCATTCACGTTTTTAACAAACCCCCTCATCCTCTGGGGCCAAACTACACCTAGAGAACTACAAAGAACGGATTTTAAATCTAAACAGGCCGACTGTTCGGCCTCCAAAGCCCACGAAGGATTTGGGCCTCGGGTTGAAGACATCAGTACTCAAAACAGCCCCCTGAAGAAACTCCCCTGCCTCTGTACAAGTCCAGTTCACAACCTGGCTGCTCTCCAAGCTACATGTAGGGAGGGGCCTTTTTGTCAGAGCGGATGCTTCTTTGCAAGGCTGTTTGGCCAAACCAGGACCAACTGTGCCCCCCGGTGGCCACGGGCTTCCACTGACTTTCAGGGTCCTTGTCATACTCTGCTTTCCTTAGGGACCAAGCCTGGTTTGCACCACAGGGGCCAGCCACTGTCATCTTTGATGCTACAGGGTTGAAAGAGGGGTTACGGATGTAAAGGCCTCGCTGGAGATGCAGGGCAAAAGGAAGAGCGCTTGCGTAGCCTGCAGGACGCCCTGGGTTCAATTCCCGACACCAGAGAAGCCGGTCAGAGTGGTACATACCTGTGATCCCAGCACGGGAGGTCTGGAGGGACAATGATCAAAGTCACCCCTGGCTAAAAAACGGAGTTCCAGGCCATCCTCACGGGACCTTGTCTTTAAAATAAACAGATGTGGAGATGGCGGCAGCGGCTCAGTGGATAAGCACTCGACTCCCACGTGAGAGGACCAGCATTCAGCTCCTCAGAACCCACGCAAAATCCAGGCAGATGTGGTGGCCGCCTGTCACCCCTGCCATTCACAAGGTAGAAATGGGATCCTGGTGCAAACTGACTAGAAAAGGGAGACATTCCAGGGTGGGGGAGCCCGTTTTTACGTTCCTCGTGGCTTTACCCAGCAGGTCTGCATATAGAGGATGATTAGGACCACGGGCCTGAGTGCAGGTGTCTGAGATGGTCTGCACTTGGCTATGCTGGGGGGAGGTCTTTTGCTCCACCCCTTGGCATTTCTATAAAAACCCTGGGGCAGAGACAGTTTGGGCCTGTTGGAATAGGTTCCAGGCCCTCTCGAGGCTATCCTGTATTTTCTATCTGTTTATCTCCACAAGATTCTCCACTATAAATCCTTCTATCTAATATTACCTGCTGCTCACACTCAAGAAAACTCTGGGGAACTGTGGGGTTGGTGGGTAAACGCCCCACACCAGGGGGCTTTCACCTCTCCCGAGGTCAAGGAGACGGGGCTCAGGGTTTCCCCACTTCACAGCCATGACAGGAAATACAGAGGGACAAAGTGAGGTGGGTGAGTGGGGGTACAGGTCTCAGCTCTGACCCTGGGACATCAGTTCTGCTGAGGTTTGCCTAGTCCCGGGACTTGTTTCAAACTGGTCCTCCTTCGCTTCTCTGTCTATGACAATCCCAGTCCAGGTCTGCACATTATCTTCCACAGAAGGGCACTCTGTGCCCCAAAGCTGGTGGCTAGGACCTGTCACCGATGTTCTTGGCCCCTGATGCAAAACAGAGGCCTGTGACTCTGCGAAACCAAAACATCAAGCGCTTCAAACGTGCAGGTGATCTCAGCTCGTCACTGGGAAAGCCCAGGCAAGCATCGAAAATAGTTCTGTCTGCACAGGGGTGTGAGCTGTGGGACCCAGGAGAGCCTCGGGTGCCTCTGTGGGGTGAGGTGTCAAAGGGCAGAGAGAACACATATGAATGAGTGGTTTACAGACACATTTGTCCTGGTTTTTACTTCAGATAAGAGCGTAGACAGATGCAGTCAGGTAGAGCGGACGTGTGGAGATGTTCGAGGGTTTATTCTGCTGTGTAAGATGCATTGGGTCTACAGGCACTCAAGGGGCTGCTGGGATTTGGACTTCCTGGGGAACCCAGCCTTGGCTTTTATTCAGAAGAACCTTTAACACTTAGGGATATACTCTTCCATCCACTCCGTCAACACTAAAGCCGAAGCAGCGATTTCTAGGAAGCCTCCGGCCGTTACCAGTGCACCATGGTGATAGGATACGACCGTCTTCAGCTTAAACGATCGACCTAGTCAGGGGCTTTGATGGATCCCTTCAAAATGAAAAACAAACTAAGGACAGGGGCCTGAAAGAGGAGAGCAGTGGACGTGAGATTGGGACATTCCACGTGGGAAACAGTGACGGGGAGGGCAGGGCCTGCAAGGCTCTGCATACTCAATCTGCTGTGCCTCCTTCCAGGCCAGGAGAGAGCCTGCTTATGCCCAGCAGGCCTCTCAACTTTACATCCAATGCAGGGTGTGCAGGAATCGTCTTCTTTCGTGGGAAGAACGCATCCGTATGTCTCCTACCCGTCACAGGGATAAACAGGGTTGGTATGATAACCCGCACGAACTCCAACAACAGGGAACAGTTTGCAACCCTCCGGATTGTGTGTGTGTGTGTGTGTGTGTGTGTGTGTGTGTGTGTGTGTGTGTCCATTTGTGTGCAGGCCCTTGGATGGGTGTGCACGCACTTGTACAGTCATGCCTTGAGAAGCCAGGATCTCAGGTACTGTCCCTCCTCAGGGACAGTCCACCATGCTTATTGAGACAGGGTCTCTCCCTGGGACCTGGGACCTGGGGCTTACGGACTCCACTAGGCTGTCTGTCCAGCCAGTGCCAGGGATCCATCCATCCTCACCTCCCCCGGCACTGGGATTACAAACGCACACTTCCTCGTCTGGCTTCATACATGGACGCTGGGGACAGAGCGTGGATGCTCACGCTTGCATGGCAAGCCATCTCCCTGGCCCACATCCAGGGTTGTTCCCAAGTTAGGGACTAAGTGCTGTAAACAATGACACACCAAAAAAAAAGGAAAAGCACCTTAAGGACATTAAAAAAAAAAGATTTAAAATTCACATGCCTGATTTTCAGAAGTCTTTCATCCATCTCGTTTATTACAGAAATTTCTAGTTCTGCATCAAGCACAACACAATGAAATATTACATTGATTTTCATCATTGCACCGGCATTTACAAACACACAGCCAATGTTATAAATAAAATATACTGAAGTAGTGATCAAACCTGAAACCCAAAGGGGAATTCTCTGCGAAAATAGGAGCACGTCTCTGCAACGTGCCGGGGGCATTCTCCTTCATCGTGTGTGATCAACGTTTAAGGACGTGTCACTGTGGAGTGAGTCACGCACTTCCACGAGCAACTCTGAAATGTGTGGTACGAATACAGCATTGTAGCATGTGGCCGTGGGGCCACCGGGTTATAGCGCATACGCAGATAAGCCGACGTGAGCGAGCCCGGGTGCAGCTCACATCCGGATCTCACGTGGGAGCCTCCCTGTGGGTGTTCCTTCACACCACTACCTGGATGGGGCTCAGGAAGGACGTCGGGGATCTTAGAGTGTGGTTTTGTGTAAGGTGTGCTCTGTTTCAGGGTAGAGTGGTTCACAACCAGATCCCAAGCCAGGTGTGGTAGCTGTGGAGGCGGGAGGGGGGGGATTTGCTGTGTGTTTGAGACGGGGCTGCAGACCAGCCTGGGTTATAGAAACAGACCCCGGCTCAAGCTTGCTCTCAGAATGCCACTTGGAACA